TTCATTGCGATAATCATGTCTGATTTAGGTATGCTTCCGCCTTTGGTTAATAAGTTCTTGATGATCCAACATGAACGATCCATATGACTGTAAAACATATTATTTTTCTCCAACAGCAACCTCTGACTTGGCTTCATTTCCAGTCAGTTTTGGAGGCCACGTGAAATTCTTGCTAACGGAGAAATGCAAGTCGGAGTCCGCTTCATGCTTAGTGCAGGCCACGTGTATCCATTTTTTTGTTACACTAGTAGGTAACATGGTCCTGAATGTCAATCAGTCACACTTTACGTTCTACAATGGCAGGACATTTCATTGTACAAGTTATTTTTATTGTGGAAAAATGTCAAACTTAATGCAAAGAGAAATATATATGTAGCATGATTGTATATGCAATAAGCTGAAGAAAAAGGAAATGATGATTCTACTGTAGCCCATATGCTATGGAGTCTATTTTCTTCAGTATTGTTTTCCGATTTATATATTTGTGATATAATTGATCTTCTATCCCTAGTGGGCAAGATAAAAAAATTTCACTGTTGATGTGGCGGAGAAAATCTCAAGTATGATTTTATGAATGTGTGACTGCCACAGAGAATTATAAGTAAGGTTCTTTTGTCACATTAGTATAAAATTTTTATTCTACCCACTGTGAATTGGAGATCAATTGGAGATCGGATCCGATATTTGTACTCTCTCAAAAAGAGAAAACGAGGAAATCGTTTTATTACATTTTGTCTATATTATTATTATATTACCTAATAATCTTATTTTTGTTCCTCTATATCATTTGGTGATCACAAAATATTCCGTCCCCATCTCATTATGCATCAAATCCTTCTTGAAACAGAAATGAAGATATTTTAGCGTGTCATGTCCTATTTTGCCCTGCTTTCCAAGTATTTCGGCGGGGCACTGCTACATGTACATAAGGGGAGGAAGGTGGTTTGGTTTACATACATTCACACGTGGGGTGAAATTTTTTTTTAATTTTTAATTACAGTGGAGCCACCACTGTGAGAGGGTGTAAAACCCCTGTGAACCTCATTTCTGTACATGAGGATTT